AAAAAAAAAAAAAAAAAAGAAGAAGAAGTGAGGAATTTCTTTCTCTGGAATAAGAGAGAAGGTGAGCAGAAGGCATCATGTGGTAACATGGGAAATTCTTTTTCATTGGCATCTGATTTCTGTTAATGTTGTATGGTGGGGTCATAGCTGAGAGTGTCTGCAAGTACCTAGGGTTGGAGGAGGCAGATTGAATGAGAAGAGGAGATGTGAAATGTTCATCTTCTGTGAGAAAAAGGCATTGCATTACTTTGGGATTGTTTGGTGGTTACAGCAAACAGAAAGCACTCTAGCTAGCTTTAATAAAAAGAGGATTTATTAGAAGAAATTAGGAGGCCTCTCAGAAAGCCAAAACCAGAACTTTTTAAGAGACTAGAACCCCAAACACAAAAATGAGAATTGAGGCCAGCTTCCTGTTTCTGTCTCTTTTCTCCCCTCTCATATCTACTGTCTTTGCTTCAAGATGCTTGTGACCTAACAAGGTCCCTCCAATCCCCAGTTCATTTCACTTTCTGGTCCAAGTGTTTTACTGATTGACAGGTGTCCTTGATTCATCCTTTTATTTATTTATTTATTTATTTATTTATTTTTGAGGCAGAGTCTTACTCTGTTGCCCTGGTGGGGTACCATGGCATCACAACTCACAGGAACCTCAAACTCTTGGGCTTGAGCAACCCTCTTGCCTCAGCCTCCCAAGTACCTGGAACTATAGGTGGCCACCACAATGCCTGGCTAGTTTTTCTATTTTTAGTAGAGACAAGGTCTCTCTGTTTAGGGTGGTCTTGAACTCCTGAGTTCAGGCTATCCTCCTGCCTAGGCCTCCCAGAGTGCTAGAATTACAGATTTCTTCTTTTAGAAGACCAATTTTATTGTCCCAGTTTGGGTTAGTTGTTTATCCCTGGAGAAAGGAGTAGGATGTTATCAGTATAAATGTCTGTGAGTGAAGCTCAGTTCTTTGTGAACAGAGATTGTAGGTTTGAGTACAGAAAATAAGTAAAAACCTAGGGCAGATGCAGTGGTTTAGCCTGTAATCCCAGCACTTTGGGAGGCTGAGGCGGGAGGATCACTTGAGGCCAGTAGTTCAAGACCACCCTAGTATCTCAAGAATAGAAGAAAAGGCTCGGCGCCTGTGGCTCAAGTGGCTGAAGCGCCAGCCACAT